GTTCCTCGCCGAACCCAGAGTTGGGTTCCTTGTGAGGAACTCGATCTGGGTTCCTCACGACGAGGAACTCGATCTGGGTTCCTCACGACGAGGAACCCAAAGTCGGGTTCCTCATGGGTTCCTCCGGAGGAACCCAGCTCGAATCTGGGGACTAGCTCGAATCTGGGGACGAGGAACCCAGATCGGGTTCCTCATAGGGAACCTAGCTCTGGGTTCCAGAAAAATTTTTTTTTTTTTTTTTGGTGGGGGGCGTGGGGGACAAGCGAAAACCGTGCAGTGGGTCCCACTACACACGTGGTGTCTACGTGTACAAAAAAGAAGCCATGTCATAAAAAAACATATCCACGTCTGAAACTAACGAATAAAGAAACGCTGCATGTGCCACGTCAATTTTTGGGTGCCACGTAGTGCATTTTTTAACGGTACCGTGACGGTCCGTTAAAATATTGGGTTTTTCATGGATTTTGAAAAATAGAAGGTGTGAATAGGGAGAAAAAATTCTGGAAGGTGTTGACAGTGAAAAAGAAATAAATGGAGGGTGCAAATAGGGGTTTTGGCCTAAATGAAATGATTTAGTTTAAAGATTTACACTTTAATAATTTTTAGAAGTTAAGATTGATATGCATTATACTTTATATATAAAAGTTATAAGAATTCATTTTAAAATACATTTATGAGTATATCAATTTCAAATCTAATCTCTAAAAAAAAAAGAAAAAGAAAAAGAAAAAGCTATATCTAATTATCATTTTAATTGTATATATAGTTCTCATTTATCCAACCCCCTCAGTTTATTTCATGGTAATTATGCCATGCAGTAAGAATCAACGAACCATTGAAAAATACAAGTCCTAAAACCCTTTTCTTCTTCTTCTTCTTCCTCCTCCGGCTTACACTACATTTTCGTTTCCCTCGCTTCAGAAAATTACGCGTGTTAAGGATCGGACCTTATTGCATTGGGCCTATAAGGCTGGGCAAAATTCTTCATGGGCTTGTTGAGATGTCCATGTTAGGTTTTCTTTGTATTTTGATGATGATTTAAAACTATGATTCAAAAGAGTTTAATCTATTTTTGTGCTAAGTGTGCAGGAAAATTAATTCAAGGATTTTAATCTTTCCCCACGATTATAATTAATTCATGTTCCCTTGTTCAGAGTTTTGGGTTCGAATCAATTTAATTTGATTCGAACCAATCCCGAACTTCCTTTTTTCGAAAATGGTTCGAACCATTATTTTTGGCTTCGAAGCAAAAAATTCTGAAAGGTTAAATTTTGACAGCTCATCTATCCATTTACTATTATTCTTAATGGGCCTTAGGGGAACCATTGTCTAAGCACTTTCCAAAGTCAAGTCAAAGTTAGTAGAATAAGGTGGAATCTAATTGGAGCATTTGTGGGGTGGCTTTAAAGGGCTAAATGGACTTTAATTTCAAGGCTCCAAACCTACTATTAAATAGATCATAAAATCAGATTTGAACAGATGAACGAAGAAGGACGAACTGCTGCAGAAAACAGAGTTTGAAACTATTTTGGATCTCCTTCTTCTTCTCTTCTTGTGAGCTTTTGAGTTAGTTGTCTTACAAGGGTTTTGTATTCTTCTTGGATTGGGATAATCCTTGAAGGGGTTGAGTGAGTTGAGATTCATTTGTAAGGGTTTAATCTTGCACCCGCAAGCAAGAGTTTATTCCGGTTTAATCTTGCACCCATAACAAGAGATTTCTAGTGGATTGAACTCTCGAGCAAGGAGGCTTGGAAAGTGGACGTACTCCGGGTTGGAGGAACCACTATAAATCACGGCTTGATATACTCTTCCCTTTCTTTTTATTTTTCTGCACTTTATTTGCAAGATTGCAGTTGATCTCTATTTTATTTTGCACAACAGATTATACATATATATTGAAAACTTAATTCACATTTTTATAAAGGAAAAGAAATGAGTTTTATATCTTAGGAATTGAGGGGTAGCTAGCTGGGATTACAATCCAATTACAAACTCAAAAGTAGAAGGGAAAAACTCTAAATAAGCCTCTACTCTCAGCTTGTTGAGAATTGAGCCCCTAGAAATTGTTTTTTTGGGTGGGAAATAAATATAAGCCTGTAAACTTCTCCGGTTGAGGGTTTATTTGCCACAAAAAAAAAAAAATAATAGAGTTCAATAAACAAAAGTAATTTAACATTTATCAATTAATTTTGATCCATTTAGGTAGCTGAAGTGGGGCATTTTTAATGCATAATGTGGGTCTTAAAACCCAATATTGTTCTCAATGGTCCTTTGAACTTCCA